AAATGACGTTTCTATCCCGACATTGTTTTCGTCCGACAAGCAGTACATAGAGAACAGAACTCTACAGTACAGAGATTTTCAGTGGGATTGCTTCATATAGATGCCCTGCGTAGATTCTCATTGAGGCATGTATTCTGCTCCCCGTAGGTGAAGCCTATCGTAAATGCGGACTTATTAGGCCTATGATAGGCCCGGCGCGGTCACGGATAATACTAGATAACCTTTGTATTCCACAGTCAGGTGCATCTATAAATGCAGACCAAACCACACAAACGATGAAGGCTCTCCGGAAAATCTGCTAATTGGCGGTTTACAATAAAAGTTGGTGGTGGTAAATGATACTTGTAATCAGTGACAATGAAAAGAATACAACTACAGCTGGCCATTTGTTTTGTTAGGTGCTGTCACATATTGTGGAGGTCGTCGTCATTTGCATTATATGGTCTGCATTACAGATGCACCCTACTTGCGGAATACGAAAGTTACTCAAGATATGGCGCTAATTTTAAATTAGTGTATAAATACGTTCACATATAATTATAAAAATGATCGTCAGTAATTCCATCAATAATACTAAATTTGCTTGCAGAGCACCTTGACTGTATTGCTGGGATTCCAAGCATCAACTTGTGTGAGGCGATGGATGGACGTCTATAATTTGCTGGTTTGGCCTGAGAATATCGCACTGACGTTTAATGCGTTTTTTCGCGATGAAGCTGTGAGTAGGTTTCGTAGAAGGAGTTCATGGATGAAAATGGAGTTGGGAGGGAGGACGCGACGTTTCGCTGCTCGGCCCTGCGCAGCCCTTAGGACGTGTAAGAAGTGGAAGATGAAAACAATTATTCTTTCCCTAGCTCGAAGCACGTCCTCTTTGACTTTAGCCACCATCCCTTAGTTTATTTCTTGCACCACTCAAAGCTGAATGAACCAGCCTCTGTCGCTGCTCTTTAGCCCCAAGCGTAGCAGCCGATAGTAGCCCCCTTCCCTCCACCCCTCCCGCTAAGCCACTGAGAAGGTGCTTAGCTTCCCTGCTTCCGATCATAAACACAAATACTATAATGGATTTGTTTACGACGGCGGCTTAAGTCTGTGAGGTCGCGGAACCATGGCAAAAATAGTAAGCCATCGAGATACTGTAGAATCTGGTAGGGCTATCGATACCTTGGATTGAGTCCCTCACTGGTTGGTGCAGCTTGGTCGTGGGCAGAGGCACTACTGGTCTCTTATTATCTATGGAATCAAGACCCACTCATGCCAATTTGACCATAAATCCATTCGTAAACCCGGCGGCGACCAAGTTACCAAACCAATTTGTGCTAACACATGAAAAGGAGAAACCTCATTTAAGCACCTGATACGTTCTTGAGCTAATTTGTAAGCCAGAAGTACGCTAATACGCCTCGGGGTCCGAACTCATCAGTTGCAGGAGATCTCTAAAGCTTGACGAAGCACGAATTTCTCAAAGTTTACGTTCTAAGCTCTCTCCTATGAAAGCTCGAATTGTGCGGCATTCAGTCTATCGGTATCTCTTATTGACTTATATTCTCGTTCTAAGAGACGTTTCAATTCCCATCAAGAAACAGTTCCCTACATATCAACATCTCATTGACGGTAAACTACTCACAAAGTGCGTTCCGTTTAAAAAGATCTGTTACTATTTCAAGCATTCTTGGGTGCAAAACTTGGGAGGAGGAGGGGAGGGGGGTGAAGGGATATCTCGGTTTCCATCACGGTAGGTGCGCAATGTACGCAATGAGGTCACGAAATGATATGCGAATGATATGGTTAAACATTAGATGGAGAAGGATTACGAAGTGCGTTGGCAATGCTCATTTTCCTCGAAGCTTGTCTACCTGCAGGGCTTAGCCCTGGAGACAGAAAATGACAGAAAATCCGAATCAGCCCAAAACGAAGAGGAAAGTTGAATCTGCAAAAATGAAGAGATCAGCGTGACGTAGCAGATCGTCAATAGATTTAAGCGTACACTGCGCGCCTACCGTATTCAGAAATGAGCATACTTTCCTCCTCTTGATTTCGCACCAATTCTTGCTTTCTAGTTTTTTTTTGGTGAAGAAGACAAGTAGGCTTCTATTGACATCGGAACTGCAGTAAGTACCGGGGGTCTGTTCCAGTTAAGGGGAGGGGCATCATGATGCAGTTATTCCAGTTAGTAGGGGCATCATGATGCAGTTTTTCCAGAAAGCTAGGGTAACTCCGAGCCAGGGGGAGTGTAGCCAGTCTAGGGGGTGGGGGTGAGGGCAGTCACTTGACATGCGTGAAAAGCTGGAATGTTCGAGTTCACACTAGTTCGCCGAGAAACTGCATCATGATGCCCCTCCCCCTACTTGGAATAGACCCGGTACCGCTATAGATTGCTCTATTCCAGAGAGGAAGTGGCCTTGATGAATGCTAGTAATGTTGATCCAAATTACTGCCGTTATTGGATGCCGATGTTGTGGCTTTGTCAAGTTGTGAAGAAATACTACAAGTATTGCAACTTAATTTGATGATCGTTTTGTTTAAGGGCGGTTTTGTAGTGCCAACCCCTTTTACTGCTAAGAGGGTCGAATCCCTTTCACACCAACGAACCTGCGGCAGTCCATTTCACTGCATGGACCAGTCACACTTTCGAATGTCTCTAGTCAAGAAAGGTTTTCAACTTTCCATGTTCACAATTAAAAATACTGGTTACAAATATATAGAAACCAAAACTGCTTCGGAACTCTCCGAGCAAGCTGTGAGCGGTCAAATTTGGCAGGAAATGAACTACCATCAAATAAGGCGAGCCGTTCTATCACGTCAGCAAATTTAATTAATTTATTCGAGAAGCTGCTCGAGGCAGACGTAAAGAAATACAAGCACAATTACATACAATAGAAAGTCTTATTATCATTATAGCGCCTACCAACACAATAACTGCTTCTTTGCCCTACGTTTGAACATCACAAAAGCCTGTGGAGCAAACGGCACATTGATTTCCAAGAGAAATATTAAATGCTGGGCCAGATCTACAAGTTAGGAATCTGGAGTAATAAGCATGT